ATTGGAGACCTCAGGGGACATTGTTCTCTCTCCCTACCTAATCACCAACGTATCTCAACCAGTGTAACAATTTAGAACGTCCAAAATTAGAAAACAGGTCGACATAAAGTTCATATTTTATCGAAAAATACGGAAAACACCACCTCGATTTCGAAAAGTAACTGTTTAACGGCATTCAGTTAAATCGATTAATTTCTCGGCGAGAAACAGTTGATCAAAACAAACAAAAAAACTGTCTTAAATAAATCAAAAAACATTGTAACGTCAAAATATGTCTTACAGCCGAACCCCTGGCAGACGCTACAAGGAGTTGGGGAGTTCCGGAAAGCCGGTGCGGTAATGTCTCGAGGTGGCGGCTCGGCACGCGAGACGTTGGTACGGTATAAAGAAATAGCGTAGCTGATGGAAGCAATAATGGACGTTTGCCAAGCATTGGCGTTTTCTTATCCCTCTGTCCCGGAGAGAAGACATTTTGTTTCGACGCGACAAACCGTCACTCAAACGTCAATCTCAACAGCACAAGACGTATATACATACACTTGTGTGTGTGTGTGTGTGTGTTCCTCTATTGTGTACATATATAATACAATATTATACTATACGATATTATGGGCCCACGTGTGCGCATCGATGTAGTCGTTGACGAGCGGAGACGATTCCGAAGAGGCAACCCGATGCGCGAACAGATATTTATTAAAACTTTCTCATACGAACTGTCAGCGTAAGACTTCTGCTGCGAACCCGCACACCTCCCCCCTTCCGTAACGCCCCCTTTGAAAGTCGACGGCGCAAACACTTCAACACTCTCTACAATATGTGATCCCGGGCAGTCCGCCATCACCATACCGCACCCGGTTCGGCGGCTCTTTGCGAGAAATGTGTCGAATTCCGATGGAAACTACGATAGTAAGTAAAAAAAAAAAAATATATATATATATATATATGAAATAAAGGACAACAATCCCCGTAAACCGGCTAAACTTTGAAAACGTACCTACCTACCATAGATTTCCCAATCAAATGTTTATAATAATTACATTAATGGCGATAACACGTTTGACGGTATATTTGTGTGTCATAGATTGGCGTGTACGCACTTTTCATGACTTTGTGAATTTTATTCCGCACAATATGGCAGTGGGAGTGGCCGACTCGAACGTTATAATATATTATGGAAAATAAAAGCTTTTAGCGTTTTTCCATTTAGACACAACCGTCGAGAAAAGTCTTAAAAACGTTTAAATCGGAATTTGTATTCATGCTAAACCGAGTCGTTAAGCAGAGACGGTGTTTATAATTTTGCAGTGTTGACATTATAACTGCGCTCTACCAAAAGCTGACGCATTTTCAATTTTTTTTTTTCGTTATTAACTACTACCAATATATTATGCCTATATTACATTATGTTCTACACTTTAAGCGGGGTTGTCGCACAGGGAATAAGTACATTTTTTTTTTCTGTGTGTTTAATTTGTAACTCTCCGTTTCCCAAGACGTTCACAGCTGTAGTACGTATATTAAATAGCAGTACAATCCACTAAGAGCTGCCGCTTCCTTGTTCCGCTCGCGAGTCCAAAGGAGATAAGCGACACGAGATAAGGCGCTCGCTCGCCGTTCGGATGTGGCCTGTATTATTGTACATTGTTGCGGTTAAAGGCTAATGCGAACAGTGCTCGAGAAACAGCAAGAGAGAGAGAGAGAGAGAGATGTAATCTGATGAGCCTCGCGCTAATTAAAGCGCGACAACGGCGTTTTCAGAGGGTTTAGAGTGTGTTTGTGTAAACTGTAAACGTTATGTCATCGGTGTGCGGTATACACACACACACACACACATACACAAAAGACCTTGACGAGGCAAGGGAGGTAAAGCGGAGAGGGCCAAATGTTGTGTATAATCCAGTCTGAAACGGAACCTACTCTGGTTTCCACGGCCGGGGTGGTGGACGCACAAGGGCAGGATATTAATTTAAACGGACCGCGTAATGATCGTGTGCGGTCGTATAATAAAATATATATATATATATATATATATATATATATATATATATATGGAAGACTGTTGCGGTGGACGTGGTCGAAGAGAGGGGAAGAGACGAGATGATTGGAAATGGCGAGGGGGGACTGGATGTGCAAACTCTCGATCGCCATCGCACAATAGATCTGTGCGAACAGCTTTGCTATTAAGTCCAAAAACGATAATGGGTATCTGTGTAATAATACATGGATACGCGGAGTATGTAGCTTCAATGGGGGGAGGGGGGGACAGTGGAAAACGACGAGTTCACGTTATTGTTGTACATATATATATATATATATATATAATATGCAGACTGTCGATAACAAAGGGGTTTTATTTACCGGTTTAGTTACCTTTAAGGCCCAAATCTCCTTTCGCGCAGTACAAAATTCGAATGCGGAGACGCCATTCGACGAGTGAGGGGTAAAAAAAAAATTGGTTCATTTTTTATTTAAAATTTCTTATTAAACCCAGTGAGATATTGAGTGGTTCACGATAAGTTGATCACCATGTATAAAAAATACACATTCAAAAATAGTTGACAAATGTTTTTAAAAGGGTTCAAATATGTAGTACGACTGTCAACGACACACATTTTTTGACAACAAAATTTCCAATTTGAAAAAGTGATTTTCTGGTTTTCCTCTGTAACCTTATTTTACTCAAAAATAATTATCCTATAGACAATCATAAAGGACAATGTCGTTTTCACTAAATTATTATAATTATAATAAGTAATTAATACTAAAATGTAGCAAATTACTTTTCCCAGTAATTGTATGTACAAAATTCAATGTTTTGAAAAATGTATGATTATTATAGTTTTACAATTAAACATTACTTCAAAAAAAATTATTTATTTTAACACAACAAAATATTTAAAAAAATTTAGTCATTATCAAATTATTCTTTAAGTACAATATTCAAAACGCAGAAAATACAAAAAAGTTGTAAGTATTATTAAAAATATAATAAGTTGATTTAATTGGCGAGTGATCAATCGTACCTATACTATATTATATAGTAACTAATAATGACTAACGAGAGTAATATACAAATAATTCAATGCAAAACAGTTCATTTGTTTTTATGCGAGTTTTAGTATTTTAAAACAATATATTAACTTATTTGTACTTTATAAATAATATAAATGAGTAGAATTTTAAATTTCAATAAAATTAAGTTTCAACGTTATGTTTTTATGTGACTCTACATTGCTCATAAAATATATGATAATAGACAATGAACATTACGGAAATCAATCGGTGTAAGCTGAACTTGTAAATAAATATAACACTAGACATAATTTTTGTTTTTAATTGATTGTACCTTATTGACCCGCTATTTGTAGGCATTGATTTCGAACAAGTTTAATATATTCAACAAATAAATTACAAGAAAACAAAATTCCACCGAGAGTCTTATACATTTATATATATATATTATATATTATTTTTAGCTGTTTTTTTTTATTTTTTTGCCTTTCGTCGACGAATGTCAGCGACGACGGTGGCGCATTAATCAAACCGAGAGGGTAACAATAATAGACAGACAAAGTTTCCTATTAAAATGTCAACGGAACTCGCTGGCGGTCAGACGGAGAAAAGCGGTGGAAACGCAAGAGGGTACAATATCATTAAGGCAGCAGGAGGAACAATTTTTCATGGCACTATACTTTTGCAACCATTGATATTCAAATCGAATGTTTAGGGAAAACTTCTCAGCGTTGGGCATATACGCGAACAAACACCAGTCGTTTCACTTTTTCATAATTTTTTTTTTTTTTAAGTTAGACAATATTGGCAAAAGATGTTGCTTGTTTTACTGTTAAACCGACCAGCACAAGGATAATAAAACGGGATGGATTATCGACCAGTCAAACTTGATAAATCTAATTAAAAAAAAAAAAATTAATTTTTACAATTTGTAAATAATTATTGTTAAGTACCTCGTAATAATATGTCAATCTATACAAAATAATAGTGTCATAGTTATCGCTCATATACACTATACTATAATAATATGTCGGTGGGTTGGTATTTAATAAAATCAAAACTATGTATAATAACATTCGGTATGAATTCTCAGTTTATATAATAAAAAAAAATTAACTTTATATACAAGTAAATATTAAAAATATTGTCTAGTAAAACAATTAATAATACTGGTTATCAAAACGTAACAAACAATTAAAACATTAATATTGACTTTTATATATACTTTATACATCACTTGCCATCGAAATACGATATATAATATTAGTCTTTGAATATAAAAAAAAAAAGTATTATTATTTTTAATGTAAATACTCAAAATAATTGGTATACCGAACGGAAAAGTCAAATAACACTTAAATAAGCATTGTGGGTGGGAGCTATCAGAGAGTATAGTTGTAACAATAAAAATATTATAAAATAAGTACTATTTTTTTTTTAAAGTCGATAAAAAAAATTAATACAAAATTATTGTCGATTCACAAAAGTATCGTACAATAGTTTTGTATAGATATTATTAACGTTTATGATTTTTTTTAATTTTTTTTTTTTTTACTTCTTTTAAAGATAGACTAGGCTTTGTTTTGTTTAGTGATTATAGCCTAAGTATAATAGTAATAATGGAAATAATTATAGTAATAATAAAAGTTATTTTAATATGTACAGACTTCAGTAAAATAAAAGTAAAAAAAAAAAAAAAAGTCATCAGATTGGCCAAAAGTATTGCCGCGACAACACGCGGGTGTACCCGGTGGAGTACATAATAATAATAATAATAATAATAACATAAAATAGTACAATGATAATATAAAAAAAATCAAAAACATCAAAGGAGATAATTTTTTAAAATATTTTTAAAAAAAAAAACACCTAACCTACTGCTTGACGAGGCCGATGCGGCGAGCTTCCGGCGTGACGGACTGGGCGGTATTGTTTGACCGCGGTGGTCACGACGGAAGCTCGTCGCATCGGCTGCGGTGGCAATCACAAAAAGCGGTGGGGTTTTTTTTTTTTTTTTTTTGAAAAAATGGGCCTGCTGGAGACATGCCGGGCGCCGATCACAGATTCGCGTCGTCGGCGTGCGAGTACCATTGCATCTGGCCGTTCATCACGGCCTGTTCGTACGACGGCGGCGGCAGCGTGGACGGACACGCGTTGCTGTACATGTCGGCGACGGGCGGATAGGAGTAATGGTGCAGCGTGGTGGACGGGCCCTGCGGTTGCGGCTCGATCAGCTGGATGGGCGGCGACGGCGTCGAGAACGAACTGGTCGGACTGTACCGGTTCATCTTGGGCGTCGCTGCATCGCTGTACGGGCCGCCGCCGCCGCCGCCGTAGCCCACGGAACCGAGCCCGGTAGGCGCCCCGGACACTGAGCTACTGCCGCTGGTCGACTCCACTTGACCTGTATGACAAAAAAAAAAATATATTATTAATACATTTTTGACACTTAAACATAATACATTTGATAAAACCCAAAGAAATATATGATAAATTAAAACTTGACGAGGATGATCACACTTGGCCATTTAAAATAATAATTATTATTATTATGTTTTTATTTTTGCATAACTATTTATGGGTATTTGTATTATTATTATTGTACACAAATCTTATATACTAAGTACTCTAGCAGTATGCTGTGCCGTCCCTGGCAACCAATGTATATTAGGCAGCCCGCTTGTTTTTTATTTAAAGTAAAGTTGCGATGTATACTTATAAATGTCCGGACTCTCGACAAAAATCAAATAACGTTGGTAAAAAAAAATTATATAAAATATTATAGTCGTGACCGAGAAGAATAACGCGTCATTTTATTATTTATTACATTATTATTATTACAAAAAATTATTATGGCAGTTTTTTAACTATTTTAATTTAGGATGTTACATTTAATATGGGACACATATACATTAAAAAATATTAAATATTAACAATGATCACAATAAGTGAACATGAACAAGTTCCATAGTTTTAATCAAGTCATTCAGTTTTTTTGTTTTATCCTCGAACTGAACGTTGAAATAAAAAAGTTTTATTCAAATAATTTATAGATAGTGACGATATTATTATTTGATGGTATATTATTGTAATAATAGTATTATCATTATAATACTGTTTTTTTGGTGGTCAGATAATTTGTTATTTCCTCTTTTGCATGTGATCAGGGCTTCGACTGAATAACGGGGTTGGGATTCAGCTTAACGTTATTTGTACAACGTTGCATGCTACGTATAATAAATAATATGAATTTTAAATTTATGAATTTAAAAAAATAAAACAAATACCCTCGCCGTTGTACGTCATACCAACATAAAAAAATATCTCGATAGCAACATTACAATATTCTAATAATATGTACCGTCAATGCGGTCAACCGATTTCGAGAAAAAAACCTTGTTGTTGTCTTAATGGACGTTCGAATTTGATAACAGCGTGACACACAACGGCAATATTTTTATTATTGGAAACACTATAGCAGAAACACAATAATAATATTATGTCGACCGGCCGATCGGATAGGAAGACCCAGTGTAAACGATTTTCCACTGCTGATAAGGACGACGTTCTCAGGATTGGGCGAGTCGTTGCCCTCGTTGGCTTTCGGGATAGAGATAATAATATAGTAAGGTATTTTTCGAGCCGGCTAGTGAATTTTGTATTCAACAAGACGTATAGCATGGCAAGTATACCTGTCACGAACGCGGTACTCACCCGAATCTCTTTTTGATTTTTTCTCCTTCATGCGCCTGTTTTGGAACCATATTTTGATTTGTCTCTCGGTCAGTCTCAACGTCCTCGCCAAATCTATCCTCCTCGCCCGGTTCAGATACTGATTGTTCGTGAACGACTCCTCCAGGTGCATCAACTGCTCGCTGGAGTACGCGGTCCTCTGGCGTTTCTGTTTTTCTCTCCTCCGGACGCCCGCCTGCGTGCACTGGGGCTGCGGCAAAGGAGCTGTGTTCCTGATATCTGATACACACAAAAGCACAACTCGATAATAATTCCTACTTGACCACAAGACTACGCCCTATGCTACAATAGACCACATGCCTAGTGTAAACGTACTACCGGTATTTGTGGTATCTGTGATCAATAACGTTTGCCGCCCATCAGCGAGTACAAAGTACAAACGCACATGGGATAGTGCGTTTTATGAGATCGATCAGTGGCGAAACTAAATGGCAAGGTGTTAACTTATTCCCCTAATTAGTTGTTTGGATGTATCATTCGAAAAAAAATCGCCAAACTGTCGAACTTAACAAGTCTAACCGGTTGATTTTTAAAAATAATATTTCGCCTTAACAAAGTTTACATTGAAGAAATGAACGACTGATAGTATAACACAGATTACATTTGTTTCGAGTTGTGCAACTCGAGTGCAAGACCGATCATAGCTTCCACTGAACATATGTAAGATACACTGTATGCAAGTGAACAACTGCGTTGGAGACATTTTACAAAATACCAAAAATATATTTCGAATATTTTTTAAACTAAAATAATAAACAACAAAAATGTAGGTATATATTACTTTTAACATTTCAGACTTAAAAAACAAATTTCACATCACAAACCTGAGGCTAATGCGAAAATCGTTTTAAAACCATTTTAGGACATGTTTTAAGTATCTATAGATATTAAATAAAATATAAAAATAAAATGGCTAGTAAATGTTTAAAAAAAAAATTTTTTAGTTAATTTTAAATTAGGTTTCTCGTATACATTTATTACTTTTTTTTTCTCAATTTATTTTTGTACTAGATGAATTAACGACACTGTTGGGTGGACAGTGGACATTGATCATTGATCATTCAACCGTTCAACAACAACAAGAAGTATAGACTATCGAGTACATTGGAATCCGAAAAACTGAAGTTCAAACAAAAAATTCTCAATATCTAACTATATTAATTAGTGTACAAATTATAGCGAAAGTATAACCGTCGTCGACCGTTGCCCCAAACTATTATCATATTAATATGTATCTAGGTATAAAAACCGTAAACATTTTACGGTCAACTGGTTTCTCGGGGCAAATATTTTAAATCGCTGAATATATCGTAATTAAACAAAGTTTCCCCAGCCATTTTGTAAAACAATTTTTTTTATAAATACTGTGAAAGGTTTTTTAAAGTTGAGTTATATTTTTGTTATGGTTTTATATTGGGTGGATTATATATGTACATACAATTTGGATACATGAATATAGTGTAAGTGTTATAATCAATTTTTTTAAGTTTTATTTAGTTTAACATAAAATACTTATGGTCGTTAGCACTAACTATACTTAATATAAATTTCAAGTAGAGTGTAACCTATATATACAGTATTGTTGAACTACCCTTAAATGTCAATCATAGGTGATGCACACGGTTGTTTATTTAATTATGGGGGGGGGGGGGGTTACAAGCGATTAAAGTAATTTTGTCGAACTTACGCCCTCGGCAGATGGTTGTGAAACTGAATATTATGTTTTATGCAAACTGATAAAGTGATAACGTTATCAGTTAACACGCGACTCATCACAACAGCGAAACACCAACGGTACACTTACGGCGGGTAACCGTTAATAATAATAATAATAATATGTTAATAAGACAAAACAAAATGTACAAAAATATATCAATAAATTATATTGTACCGATTAGATTGGTGAAAGTATAAATATTTTTATAGCATTGGAATTTGGTTTCGTGTAGCCGTTTCGGAGGCGAATAAACGATAACGCGATCTAGGAAACACTTGACCGGCTTCCAGCGCGGCCGTCCGCGATAATAATTACTCAAATGTAATACTGATATGATATTGTATTATTTTCGTAAGCTAAATAACGAGACTTAATTAGATTGTAACAACAACGACCGAGATAATATTATTATGCTAGAAATCCCGTTTTGTCGGACTCGAGTCGACGGCAGAGATGGGCGAAAAATATCAAAGAATCGATTATTCATAAAATTAACACATATCATCATTGTTTTTATTATGTTAGTGAATGTATCAAGATTGGATGGTATGTTCTTATATGCATTTTGAAAACCTCCAACGGGCGTGCAACCGATGCCGTTAGCAACTCAAGATGAGATTTGCCGTCAATTTTATGTATAAAAAAAAAATAGATAATACTGTAATTATTGCGAAACGCTCAAACTCACAAATATTCAGACGCACTTGACCAGTGTGAATTTTCGACTTGATTTTTTAAAAAATTGTAATTTACTTTATTTTTGGACTTTACCTGTATAGGGCGGCAACGGGGCGTAGGTCTGCGCGTAGTAAGGGTCGAACGTGTTGCCGCAGTAGCTGTTGTAGCTGGACACCACGTTGTCGTAGTCGTTGAGGTGGGCGGTCATGGTCTGTTGTTGATACGTTGTGGACGGCGGTAAGTCAGAAAGCGTACTGCTGGACACGGACACGGGCGCCGTGGTCGGGGTCGGCGGATTGGCCGAGGTCGGTTCTAAGTTTGCTGCAACGACATAGGTAATTGATATTATAACGTCATGTCGAAAAACGGATTTAAATTTAGCCGGTAAACGGCCGACAAAAGATAAGCGACTGTACACACACACACACACGACCGTAGCCAGCCGGTTCGGACGATAAACCCGCTACGTACAAATGATATTACTACACAATAATAATAATACAATACAGTTGTATAGATATAGGTGTAATAATATTATGCTATCGGTGCGACCGCGGTGTTGCCGTCGAATGAAAAAAAAAAAAAAAGACTAAAAAATTAGTATTTTAATAAAAAAAACGACCCGTTACCGTCAGCATCGTCGCGATACAGCGGGCTGGGCACGGTACTTACCGGGTTGACCGCGGTCCAAGTCCAACAGGGTGCCGAAGTTCATGCCGTCCATGGATTCGAACGAAACCGAATGCGGTGTTACAATAACATGTATAATAATATAATAATAATAATAATATAATATACTATACTATATAGAGGTATATAAGGCGCCGTTTAACACTCTACACGTCTGGATGTCCGTTCGCCGGTCGGGTCTCTCGGTGACTACAACAGCAGCTACTGTGGTGGTCGGCGATATTATATTCGATTATTATTATTATTATTATTATTATTTTTGTTGTTATTATCGTGTCCACTCCGCGAGGACACGCGCCCAATAATATTCATAATAACGTACACATAATTACCGGGTGGAAGGGGCCGCAGGGCACACCGCGCTCAGGTATAATAATGCCGTGGACAAGGAACACCCATTAATTGTTTCCACCAGCATAACATAGCTCCGGGTCACGTGGTTTACGCTTCTTCTTTTTTTTTTGGAAACCACCGCGGTGGGAGTATCATCCGCCGTCGCGGGTCTCGCCTATACCTTCCCCCCTCAGATGGGCTGCCTTCGCGGGGAGGTTTACTCGGCGCTCGGAAAGCTTGTCTCCCCGACTCCGGCGGGGTACGTTCAGGTGTAACCCCCGGTGAGTGCAGTCGCACAGGGTCGACATGATTATAAGTCCGTCCGATCGGGACTGACGCATGAAAAAGAAAGAAAGAAAGAAAAAAAACACATTGTCAGAAGAAAACAAAAAAAAAAACCGTATCGGACACCCGTCTGGACTCGTGTAACACGGTAGCATCGGTGTAAATGGTAATCTAACGTCATTAGCGATCGACCTTGTCGTTTGCCGTGTAAAATACACGACGTTATTAAAATGTACGCGATGCCCAATGAGTCAAGAGCGCGGGTCAGTGTTGAGTCGCTATGCCTACACCGGGGGAAAACGTATTATTATACGTTATCACACGAACGGCGTGCGTTAATAGGAGAGGAAAAACAAATCCAACATTTTATGGGAAAACGCTCACTTGACGCGCGCACTAGGCCGGCTGTATACATTGACAATATAATAATATGTCACCCTGTGTGTGTGTGTGTGTATCTTTAGGCCTGATCAAGGCCGCCTAAACTACAATATTTTACATTAGCTACTATACGCACGAGCAGTCGGTAATAGTTTGTGTGACGATATTGTAGATTTTCGTGACACGCTTAGAATAGTTTAGGAGATCCAGCCGCGGGTTTCGCCGTTAATTGTTTTTAGAGAACACCGTCCATAAAAAGGTTACGGTGGTGAAAAGATATTATTCCATTTTCCGAATTATTGTTAATAATATAATTAATATCAAAATTTGTGCTTATACGCAAAACACTTTTTAAGCAAAAATATGCTATTATAAGTTATGGAATATGTAGTTTTATGAAAATAAATTACTGTCTAACAACAAATAAAGTTAACATTTTGAAACGTTTCGTCTGTTTATATTAATTTTCGAACACTTAGATTTTTTAAAATCATTTTTAAAACATATTTTAGTTAATAGTTGAGGTCGGGTTGTTAGAATATTTCAAATAATTTTTTTTCCAACTGCTTTCTATTTGAATTTTTAACCAGTTAGTAAAAACCCGGTGTTTTTTTAAAACTAATTTGTATTACTCATAATATGCTCGCTGAATAAATGCTCTAATATGTGTACTCGGACTACAGCCGTGGAAGTCTACAAGTATGATAAATTATTTATAATCATACAGCATAACAATTATGTTATTCGATTAATATAAGTACACACATTTTTCAGATGCTGTGGGTTCGATTACTTTAGACTTTATCCTATTAATTCTTCTAAGAAGCCCTACATACGTTTTAGATAATAATAAAATATTTATTATTGTATGTTCTCGGTCTTAGGTTTATCTCCGGACGATGCGTCTAAACATATTTTTTTTTTTAAATGCATTGTCATTTTCATTTACATTAGCTAAAGTTATATTAGTCACTGGGTTTCGGAAGACGATTAATTTTTCCCCTTTGTACGTTTCTATTGCGTACAGCAATCATTACATTACATATTATCAGTCCGTCGTGAATGTTATAATAATACTACTGCAACTTATATACAATGAAACATGTAGTTCGTTCTAAATCTCAAAACATATACTTGTATAGTAATTAATATCGAGTTATATTTGCCAAAGGGTTGGTCAGGTTAATGATCTCTTACTTTTTATGGGCCGGTACAAATCAAAAACTAACTTTTGCTTATATTTTCGTTTAATAACATTTTTAGTACAGAAAAAAATCGAATTTAAGTTTTTTTTTTAATTTTTAACATACTTGGAACTTTTTTTAAAATTATTAGGTGTACAATAATTTAGGACAATTTTCAAGGGGTTATAAATGATTACCAAAAACAAACTATAATATTTAGTACGTTGTACGCCATAGCATTTCTCATACAAATTAAAAATTATAAAACTGAAAAAAAAAAAATATATATATATTAAAAAAGAGTGAACTAATATTTTTCTTTTAAGATTTGGTAGAAAAAATCATTTATGCATAATTTGTACGTATATTTAGTAATAAGGAAATATTACTGAAGCGTATTTTGTGTCATTAATGTTTGAGTTCGTGTAAAAACATGATGTAAACATTTTCCCATGAAATTTTCGAAATATTCATTGTCGACTCTATGTTTGTACGGGGTGAGGCAAAGAAAAACAAATGTATTTTTACTTACAGTTATTGTAAGTAGTGCACCATTTCTGTGCATCTTTATAGTTTCCAGTAATATAGGGTTAATGAGCTTGGCAAGGAGGGTTTCGGTTATCTCGTTTCGACGCCCCCCGAATCGAACGATGACCCTCTCGGACATTATAGACAAACATTGGATTATAATGTGTAATCCTGTGTCCTGTGCTGTCGACTTTATCAACATAAGTACTATTATCACGCTGCACACGGTCGAGTATATTGTACTCCGATCGAGTACCGCCGGAGTGTTCGCTTAGGCATTCGACCGTTAAGGTTGTTGTAAACCTTTTGAAGTCATTTCTGGAATGCAAACCTCGCGGCGTTACGTAACGGCTTACCGTCTTAGCCGACCAGCGCGACGGTATTGTTCAGCGGTGGCGATTTTCATATTTTCGCACAATGCCGCCCCGAAGCCATGGAATATACGGTCCGGGAAATCCCTTTGGATAGCAACTCCGGATAAGGATTTGGCCAGCGTAACCCGCGCAAAGCCCGTGTGTACAATATAGCAATTGATGATGTTTGTCGGTCCCGAAAAGAGCTCTCTCCCGTTTAACGCGCGCGCACACACACACACACACACACACCACACACACACCTCGAGTAGGAACCTTTTTTCAATGGCATTTCGACAAGAATAATATACTCGTGTATGTGTATGTATTATGTTCTTATGTTGTATTGTTATGTTAACAATGACTTGGCCGAATAAGAGATAGTTGCTTGTATAGAAACGCCAACGGGCTCGACGGGGAGAGGCTAGTTTCGAAATCCGTGGAAATCCCCGAGAAATCCCCCTCCTACGTCGATTTTATTATATTGAAAACGCACGACGTCGACGCAAATACGAAAACCGGAAAATCGCCGTTCGCGCTTTCTATACAACAATAATAATAATACACGATTAGGTTTTGGAAATATATATACGTTTACTTACTATATATTATGAATGAACGGCTGACACCAGTTGTTGACCGCGGTAAACTGTACGATGCCCTCCCCTCGGTTTTCCTATCTAAAAACAGTTAATTACCGATCTCCATATGACACTTCGCGGATTTCGTCAAATCCACTGGCGTGTCGTTCGGTTAAATCGGACAAGTACTTAAATTGCCCCGGAGATACCATAATCAAACTCTACAACGTGTGCCTTTGCCTAACGAAAAATGCTTCTAAAAAAAAAAGCCCATGTCCCGTTTTCGGGCATCGAGCGATCCCTTCGCCTATTTTCATCGAAATCGGTTCAGTGGTTAAAGTGGTAATAAACGAAAAAAAAACACACAAACTCGAACTTATAATAGTAATAATTGTATGGATAATTTATATTAGCTATAAACATACTCGTAGTACAACTAGTATAAATATATATAAATCATTAATCATATGATATAAGATACGCAAACTAAATGGAGGTTTCATGCTTGATTTCATTTTAGTGGTTATTTAGATTGTCTAGTCTCGGCTACCTAGTGGGAGTAGTTATTTTTGATATGCTAAGGAACATTTTCATTATGGTTTAGGATTAGATATAAGTGTTTGTATTTAATAATTAGTTTCACACATTTGATCACAGAAGAGTTTCAATCAAAAACTTTGAAACTGTTCATGGAGCTTGTCAAGTTTCAAGGCCTGTCATAACGAAACTTTTCAGTCATAGGAATTCAATTTCCGAGACGACATTCGCTGTCAGGTTAAGTTTTGTCCGTCGACGTTATTTCTCAGAAAATATAATACATAAGTAAGTGTATTTGAGATGTAGAGTTAATAATTATAGGATGGTTTGAAGTTTCCATTTTTTTTTTAGGTAATAAAATTGACTTTTTAAAAAGGTCGTAATAGAAAAAAAAATTAAAAAATCAATTTTTAATACAGTTAAGGAGCACAGAACACAAAATATAAGTTAATAACTGTTAGTTTAGTTTAAACGTATTTTCAATTTTAAACAAACTGGTATAGGTTTCACATTATTCTATGAGTTATGAGCAATTAAAAAATGCAGCCCGGCCCAATGACGTCACGCGGCTATTCTAAATGTCTTAATTTTGTTTTCTAGTCAGAATTATTAAAAACGATTTAGTGAATAAACATATTTCTAACTTAACCAATTTTTTTTTTAACTAAACGTAAGTTTTAAATTAAAAATAACTTATTTTTTGTGTTTTGTGATTTTTTAACGCTGACGGTGAGAATAAGAATAAATGTTATTTGATTAGGTATTAAGTAATAATTTTGTATATAATAATATAATGCAAATTTTATAGGGTCGATTGATACATGTTTCTTTTATTTCTCCAGCAAGTCAATTCAAAAATGTATAAGCGACATTGACTGT